CGACACCTTGGAGGCTGCCAGGGGGTCTTAACTGGATGGACCTCGAGAACATCGTCCAAGAAGGGGGGATACGAACTGGACGCACCTCGGGCAACTCGTTCAAGAAGCGGGGATGAGGGCAAATCTGTTCAAAATCGGTCCCTGACGTTCTTTCGTCTCCCGTCGTCTCCATTCCACCCTCCCTCCTCATCTTCCTTTCTCCCTCCTTCCGTGCCCAGGGTCAGCCCGAGGAATCTCCCTTCGTGGCGACGTGGTTGCACCTCCCCCCCTCCCCTCAATAGGAAGATGCGAGAGAAGTTGCAGGTCGCCCGACGGAAGGTACGGGACGGTCGCATGGTTTTTTGCAAGTATGTACGGGACGGCCGGCGGGTCTTTTGCAAGTAGTGCTTGTTTTACCTCATACAACAGATGTGCCTAAGCCACCCAGGGGCTCAGAACGTCATGAAGTTTGCTGTTTGGCTTCACACAGGGGGGCGAGTGATTACTGGTGAGCCCGTGAGACGACGTTCCGCTGGACTCCCCACGAGGCCCAGGAAGTGCCGACCCGTGTGCATCTGGGAGCACCCAGGGAGGCGAGAGCCAGAAGGATGCAGAGGCGAGGATGATGCGACACCAAAGCGAGGTGGCGGAGAAGAAGGATGAGGAGATGGACGAACAAGAGTTTCTCAGGATTGGCTGAATATGCCACATGCAGTTAGGCTGCAAGCGAGAGAGGAGGATGAGGATCACGAAGAGCACTTGGTTTGCCAAAGCGACGGCACAATCAAAAGAGGTTGAAGGGAATACGCTGATCGCTGAGACCGTGCATTCGGCATTGTTGGTCAGCTCGCGGAGTTGGATTCGGTGGTCGAGGTTCCCCCATGTAGCATTTGACCGCCGATACGAGGAAGAGGAGGAGGAGGAGGAGGAGGAGGAGGAGGAGGAGGAGGAGGAGGAGGAGGGGGAGGAGGAGGATGAGGCGGAGGAGGAGAAGGAGGTGGAGGAGGAGGAGGAGGAGGAGGAGGAGGAGGAGGAGGCAGCAGGGGCCTGCAGGCGCCATCCGAGTGCGGACTGCTGGGTTTCCTGGCGGCTCCACGGTGCCGCCCTGCACCCCTCTCCCTCCGTCACGAGCCCGATTCAGTCGCACGCCCTTCTTCTTTTTTGCCCCGACCCTCCCGTGCTGGGTCCTCGCTTGCATTAATCTCCGAGCGCGTTTCGCGACTCGCAGAGTGCCTACTCGCAAGCGTCCGAAAACACACGTCTCCCTCGAGGGAAGGTCTCGTGCATTCCCCGCGGCGGATCCAGGCCATTTGCGCGTAGTTCCTTTGCGAATAGTGGAACGCGCTTGTTGAATGAAGCACTCCTGCTCCTCCTCCTTCGTCCCCTCTCCTGCCCCTGCCCCGCTCGCTGCCTCCTGCCTCCCTGCCTGCCTCCTGCCTGCCTCCCGCCTGCGCTTCCCTGGGCGGCGGGTCCCCACCCCGAGCGCGAAGGTGCTGCAGTTCTCGAGAGGCTGGGGCCCGCTCGAGCCTTCAACGCTTTTTTTTCTTGGTTTACTCCCAGCCATCCTGTGGTGTTGGGTCCTCGCTGTGAAGAGACAGTCCCCGCGTTCTCCTGCTCCTCCTCCTCCTCCTCCTCCGCCACCTCCTCCTCCTCCTTCCTCCTCCTCCTCCTCTCTCCTCCTCCCCCCTCCTCCTCCTCCTCCTCCTCCTCCTCCTCCTCCTCCTCCTCCTCCTCCTTCTCTTTCCTGCCTGTGTCCGTAGCCTTTTTGCGGCGCGGCGCTGGCGCCAGCAGGCCTGTGAGGCCGCGCTGCGCAGCCTGGTCGCTGCGGCCGCCATGCCTGGGTCGTGGCAGGACCGCGAGCGGGTTTCCAGGCCTGCCCTGCGTCTGGCAGCGGCAGGCGCTCGCGTGCCAGGCGGCGTCAGGCGCGGGAGTGGGAGGAGCGCGGCCTGCCATGCTGCCGGGGCGCCGGCGTCGGGCTTCGCGCGGGCTTGCGACGCAGCCATTTCGGCGGCGGCGGCGACTCCTTCCGCAGGCCCGAGGGCTGGCAGGCGCTGGACGCAGCGGTGCAGGAACAGGCCACGCTGGAGGAGGAGATCGAGGAGATCGTCGTCAAGATGGAGGGCGATACTTCGGACAGGCACTTCGGCCCCACGCGGCAGGGCGACGTCGCGGTCGGCCACAGCTCCCACCAGGAGGACGAGAGCTTCGGCAACATGGAGGGCGATGCTTCGGACGAGCACTTCGGCCTCACGCCGCAGACGGCGTAGCGTCCAACCACTGCTACCGCCACGAAGGCGAGAGCTGCCACAAGGTGGAGGACGATGCCTTGTACGAGTACTTCGGCCCTCCTGCGGCCTGGGCCTCTTTGGTGGCCGAGAGGGAGCGTGGGAGGCGTACGAGTCGGCCCTTCTTGCGACGACGTGCGGAGCTCGCGAGCGAGGCCAAGGCGGCCAAGCATCGCCTCCACATCATCTTCGACGCCTGGTGGCGCGTCTGGATGTTCTTCAACGGCTGCGACGACGGCTTCGACGGCTCCTTGGGCGTGAACTGGGCGCAGCGGCCCTTCGAGCCGCAGATCGACGTCGCTGATAGCTGAGGTTCGGCGGGCTGGCCAGCCTGTTCGCCCACATATTCCTGTTGGGCAGCCTCGGAGCCTTTGGCTCCCTTTGAGCAGCCATTGCCCAAGCGTGCGCGACGACGCTTGCGCAGGACGAGCTCGGCAGCAGGGGGCGGGCTGCGCGGACCGCCCCAGCTCGTTGGGCAACCTACGAGTGTAGCCACTGCCCAGGCGAACCGACCGCCTGCGCGGGCAGCAGCATGGGGCTGGCTGCGCGGACAGCCTCGGCATGGCGTCGGCTGCCGTGCCAGCGGTGCACCCTGCGGGATGGTACACGCCATGTTGCTTCAGCTTCGCGAGGCCCGCCGCCGCTGTTGTGCACCGTCGGGCCACACCCCAGTAGAAGTCGTTCCTGCCTGTGCTCTCTGTACCTCCTCCTCCTCCTTCTCCTCCTTCCCTCCTTTTTGACGTTGGCCATGCATGACGCGCGAGCTTGTTGTGTTGCTGGATGCAGGGCAACGAACATGCTCCTCCTCCTCCTCCCTCCTCCTCCTCGAACCTTCGATGCGTTCTTTGTTTTTTGTTTTTCTTGCTGGAGCCTGGGACTCTCCACGGCCAGGCTCTCTGTAAGACGCTCCTTCTGGGGGGCCAGCTTGGACGGGTGGTTGCAGCCCGCAGGGTAAACAACAAGTGCCCTTGGGCGGTGCGAGCTGCGCAACTGTGGCCAGCTCCGCGAAATCCTGGCGGGTCCAGCGGAGTGCGGTCCTACGCGCATCCCCACAGGACCTCGCGCTTCGCGGGCGCAGTCCACCGCGCAGCTGCTGTCGCCGCTTCTGTGGGTTCCTCGGGGGTCCAGCGGAGGGCGGGCCAACGCACATCCCTACAGGACCGCGCTTTTCGTGGGCGTTGCCGACATTCGCTGCCAGAGTCGTAAGCTGTCGGCGGATTGACGGGGCGCGGTCCTACGCGCATTCTAACGAGACATCGCGCTCCCCGGGTGGGGCCGACTGCGCAACGGCTCCACGCGGTCCTTCGCGCATCCAAACAAAGCCTTGCGCTCCTTGGGATTGGGCAGCTGCGAAGCTGTCGCAACTTCTGTGGGGTCCTTGGGGGGTCAGCGGAGCTCGGTCCGCAGCTACCACCAGCTTCGTAATATCCAGGGGGTCCAGCGGGGTTCGGTCCCACGCGGACATGGGACCTCGCCCCTCGCCCTCTCTGGGCGCTGCTAGCTGCGCGACTGCCATCAATTGGATTGGCTCCTGGGAGATCCAGCGGAGCGTGGTTATACGCACATCCAAACGGGGTTTCACATTCCGTGGGCGCTGCCAACTGTCGCCAGTTTCGTGAGCTCCTGGGAGCGCGGCCCCCCACACATCCGAACGAGACCTCGTTGGCGCTCCCAACCGCACAACTGTCGCCGCTTTTGTGAGCTCGTGGGGGTCCAGCGGAGCGGTCACCTCGCCTCCCTCGGCGCTGCCAGCTGCGCAGCTGTCGCCACTTTCGCGGGCCCCTGGAGGCTCCAGCGGAGCGTGGTTCTACGCACACTCTGGCGGGACCTCGACCGCCCTGGGTGTTTCCAATTGTGCAACTCACCACCTCCGCAGGTCCCTGGGATGTCCAGCGGTGCGCAATCCTACACGCATACACGCGAAGCCTCGCGCTGTGGGTGCTGCCACCTGCGCAGATGCCACAACTTGGATGACACCACATGCCAGTATGCACCTAGTGGATCGCATCGGGTCGATTGCACAATGTAGGTTGCACCACATCGAATTCACCATGCGCATGTCTAATAGTGTGTTTGCCAGCGTGGCCCCGCACAGTGAGATGTTGAAGTGAGGATGTGTATTCTCTGTCGTGTAATACATGGGGTGTGATCGATGTGGCGTGAATTGTGAGGTGTTAGCTATGTGGTGCAGCATATGCGGTGTAATACTTGTGGTGTGAGTTATGCAGTGTAAGCTCCGTGGTACAATCTAGGTGGTAGGAGCTATGTGGTAGAAGCTACATGGTGCAGTGCACGTGGTTCAAGCAACCTGATGTGAGACACGTGGTGCAAGCTCTGTGGTGCAATCTAGGTGGTGTGAGTTATGACATCTTGTGATCTATGCGGTGTGAGCGATCTGGTGCACTTTGGGCAGTATGAGCTACGAGCGGTGAGCCAGGTGGTGCCGTCTACCTGGTGTGAGCTGTGCAGTGGACGCACGACGCGGCCACGAGGGGGCCACGGGCGGCATCGTGGCGACGCCTCGCTGGGCCCATCGAGCTTCTTGTGCAGGCACTGCCCGGGGCACACTGGGCAGCGCGGCCTGCGCCACACAGTTCGCCCTCTCGTGTGGGCCGTCGCCGCTGCTCCTTGCCGCTGATGTCTTGGGCACGCCCCTGGGTGGCCACCTGCCTCTCTGGCATTATTTCGATGCTCCTGCCCTACCGAGCGAGGGGGTCGACTGCGCCGCCGCGCTTGCAAGCCGCGGCGCCCCGGCGCCACGGGTGCCCGGCCGGCACCCTCTGCGGCGATGGCGGCGGCCGTGATGGGGCGCGCCGAATTCTCCCGCCCGCCTGCCACCGAGCGCGTTCCGCTTCTCGCAAAGTGCCTACTCGCAAACGTCCGAAAAAACAGATGTCTGCTTTGATGTAATCAATCGTAGATTCCTCGCGGCGGGTCCAAGCCATTTGCGAGCAGTGATTTCTGCGAGCAGTGGAACGTGCTCGTCTAGCTTGGCTGGATCGAGCTCGGGGTGGGGGCAAGAGGGGAGGGGTTCGGCAGCAAATCATGAGAGCCTTGTGTGTGCCCTCGTAATATTTTGTTTTCAGGGTGCACCAGCGTCGATCAGCCTCTGGCAGTCGATGAGATAGCGCCGATGCAGCGTTGAGGAGCGTCGATTCGGCCTGACGTCGACTAGCGTCGATTCACAAGAGCCAACAGGGTGGCATGGCAGGCTCCCATGATTTGCCGCAGAAGGCCCGGCGGCGAGCGAGGGGGGAAGTGAGAAGGAGAAGGCTCTCTCAGAAGGCGAGGGGACTCCTCAGAAGCCTCACAGCGCCCTCCGAGAAGCTGCTCTCTGTGCCTTCGGGGAAGGCGCAAAAAGCTCCTCCGAGGGCCCGGGGGACTCCGAGCCCTCCGAGAAGGCCTCCTCCTCCTCGGACTCCCAGTTTTTCGGCCACGCTCGGGGCGACCCGGGCACCCCCGGCACGCCGCCCCGGGCGGGGCGCAGCCGCGGGAGCGCATCCCGAGGCTGGAAAGCCGCCGAGAAGCGCCGAGACCGCCCGAGTCGGGTATAGCCAATTTGGACCCCAGGTATGGGGACCCGGTTGGTGGTAGGTCACCACCCACCAAACCACCCCAACCCAACCCGAAGGCCCCAATTTGCCCTCCATTTTCAGTGGGGGGGCGGTCGGGAAACATCGAACAAAAACACATGTGGAACCCTTACCCCCCCCAACCCGAAATTCGGGTCTTCGGGTTGGGTTGGGGTGGTCTGGTAGGTAGTCAGGTATAGCTAGGACCCCAGTTAAAGGGGACCCGGTTGGTGGTAGGGCCCCGGAGCCCCTGAGTTGGCCAGAACCGCTAAACCAGGTTTGCCGTAGCCAGTGTTTTTTCGGGTGACGGCAGTTCCGGTCAGTGCAAGGGGGCGGGGGGGGGGCGTTCCCCAGTACATGTTCCTAAACCAGGTCCCACTAAACCCAGTTCTGCCAACGCCCGACCGAGAGCCTCGAACCTCGAGCCCGAAACTCCCGAACGGTCCCCCCCCTCCCGCTCGCCGCCGATGGAGAATATGTCCACTGCTTCGTGCAAATCGAGAAAAAATAGCCGGGACATCTGATATGGATGTTGAGTAGGCCTACGATTGCGAGCTATAACGTGGTTTCTTACGTGTACGTGTGTGTGTGTGTGTGTGTGTGCGTATGAATGCGCGTACTCATGTGCGTGCGCGTATGCATGTTTTTTCGAGCGTATGTGTGTAGGCATCTACCGCTTCCTCCCCTCATCCTGCATGGAGGCAGAGTTCGCCCAACGTTGCCCCGTTTCGCTCCACTCGCTGGTGCAGTCCCTCCGCCCAGCCGCCGACGCCGCTCGTAGGAGGAAAAAGGTACCCATACCGCTACCCTTCAGTCGGGCATGTCCCTCTACAGGAGGAAGATTCAAAACTAGGCAAAAAGTAGTCAGGGGACTTTTCTTCGACAATTGTTTCCAATTATTTTAGGATACGTGCTGACTATATTTTATTCTTCGTACAAAATCCGCCTGTAGGGGGACATGCCCGACCTAACGCTACCCCTCTCTCGTTTTCCCCCTCCGAGCATCCTGGGAGGCCCTCGTCACCACCGCTGGGTTCGCCTCGAAGTTCTGGTCAGAACGCGCCCTGGGACAGGGCCGGGGAGCAGCGGTATCAGTACCCTCTTTGTCTCTCCGTTTTCGACGAGGCATGGGGCCGCTCAGAAAAGGAAGGGAGCCCTGGGTGAACCCCCTCCTCCTCCTCCTCCTCCTCCTCCTCCTCCTCCTCCTCCTCCTCCTCCTCCTCCTCCGCCTACCCCCCCCTCCCCCCCCTCCTCCGCCTTCCTCCTCCTCTTCCTCCTCCTCCTCCTCCTCCTCCTCCTCCGCCGTCGAGGCTGGGCGCCCTCCCCCATCGTGCATGCCAGGCTTGGGCCCCGACTCCCTGGTCCAGCCGAGGAGCCCCACGACGCCTGGAGAAGGGGGGCCGACACGCCCCCGGTTGTGCGCCGCGGGCTGCCTCCCGCGCAGGGCCGCTCCCGCGTGCGGCCGAGCGGGCTGTCGCCCCCGGGCCCGTCTTCCCGCGGCTGGCCTGCCTGGCATCGCTCGGACGTGTGCATTTTTTTTTTTTTTTTTTTTTTTTTTTTCCTCCCTCGGCGAGGACCATCGAGGAGCACCCTTGGTCATCGAGCCAGGAGAGCGCGCGCGAAGCCGGCGCCAAAAGGTCATCGAGCCGCAGTGCACGGGGGACGGACGTCCGGGCGATGGCAGGCCTGGGAAGAGGGTGTGTGTGGGGGGGGAAGGACGTGCGCGGCCACTCTCCCGCGCAGGGTGCCTCGGGACCTCCTGCGGGATGGGGCGCCTTTCTTGAATGTCTGATGGCCTTCGGCCCATGCCGCCACCGTGCCCGACCTCGCCGGTGTGAAGCCCACTGGATGTTTGTCGGGATCTCGTGGGAGGCTTCTCGGGGGCCTCTTGGGAGGCAGTCTGGACGCCGCCTGGGGGGCCGTTGGTGCGCCTGGCCCGAGTGTTCTCCGTCCTCTCTCGACCAGGGGGGCGGCTTCCTCGAGCGAGGGTGCGCGGGGGACGGGAGGGCAGGCGGCAGGGCAGCAGGAGGGGGCAGGGGAGTGGGGGGGAGGGAGAAGGGCAGGGGGAGGACGTGGGAAGGGGAAGATGGCGAGTGGGTTCTCGTGGCCGAGGCAGTTCCTGTCGATCAGAGCCGCCAGTGAGGCTTTTGGTGGAGGAGGAGGAGGAGGAGGAGGAGGAGGAGGAGGAGGAGGAGGAGGAGGAGGAGGAGGAGGAGGAGGAGGAGGAGAGGAGGGGCAGGAGGAGGAGGAGGAGGAGGAGGAGTGAGGAGGAGGGAGGAGGAGGAGGCGGAGGACGAGGAGGAGGAGGAGGAGGAGGAGGGAGGAGGAGGAGGAGGAGGAGGAGGAGGAGCAGCAGGAGCAGGAGCAAGGGGACCAGGAGCAGGAGCATCAGCATCAGCAGGAGCAGGAGCAAGAGCAGGAGCAGGAGCAGGAGGAGGACAGACAAGGAGGGAGGCGGCCGGAGTGAACCCAAGATACATCGGACATGCTGCGACCCCCCCCCCCCGTCCCAAGAGTCCCCTCCCCAGCAGTCCCACCAGCATCCTGCCTCACCTGCGCGAATCGCCCGCCGTGGTACACACGAGCGCCCTGCACCCCTGGCAACCCTGGCCGACCCCTGCGCCCCCGGTCGGCCCCTGCGCCGCCGGCCTCCTCCCCCCGCCTCAGGCCGCGCGACGTGCTGGGCAGCTCGTCGTGGCCGCCGCTGGGAGGCCCGCCTGGGGACCCCCGCGCGCGGGCCACCGGCCTTCTCCGCCGTCTTGCCGGCTCCGGTGAGCCCAGGAGGTAAGGCTATTCTAGAGTCTAGGGTAGGGCCTAGAGTAGCCAAGCAGCTCGGCCGCCCGAGAGCGCCATGCAGCGGCCGGTCCCCTGGAGCCATCTCGGCGCACGCTGGGGGCCGAGTCCTTGGCTGCGCTTCCCGGGTCTGGGGAAGAGTCGCGCGGGGCGCGGGCATTCCCAAGAGCGCCCGGGAGTGTTTCGGACAGAGCCTCGAAAGCCCCTGGCCGGGCTTTCTCTTGCCGTTTGCAGGCCAGGTTTGCTGCCCTTTGTGCCACGTGTCTCGATGGCCGATGCCGGCAGTCCTGGTGGCCCGAAGTCCGATTCCTCCACCGTGCCTGTCCCAGTTTGACTTCCCCCCTTCTGCTGAAGCTCCAGCCAGGCCGGTCGACCGTGCGCGGAAGCTAGACTACGGCCTTGAACGGAGCCTCTTTTTTTCCTACCCGTTTCTCATCCAGGAGGTGGCACTTCCTTCTGGCTGACCCCTTCTTCCTCGTCGCTGCAAGCACTGCTCCGCGGAGGGTGGCGGGGGGGGGGACAGAGGGCGAAGCTGGACTACGGCCTTGAACGGAGCCTTACCTTTCTGACCCGTTTCTCGTCCAGGAGGTGGACCCACTCTTCCTCCGCGTCGCTGCAAGCATTGCTCGGCGGAGAATGGCGGGGGGGGGACGGCGGGCGCGTCCCTCTACAGGAGGAACATTCAAGAATAGTCAAAACAACACTCTGGGTATTTTTGTTGAGTATTGTGTCACCTTCTTTAGGTATTTTTGATCATGTTTGAATATTGTTGGGTATTTTTTTTGAGTAGTATTTTTCGTCACAAATCGGCCTGTAGGGGGTGCGACCTCGGCCATCCGCTGCAGCATGCGGTGCTCGGGATCGGTGCATGCGGTCAGAGCGAACCCTGGGTTGCCCCCCTTCCCCCCGCTCTCCTGCCCTTGCCCGCGCTCTCCCGCGTGCGCGGGAGCGTGCTGGGGGATGATAATGATGATGATGATGATGCTGATGATGCTGATAATGATGATGATGATGATGATGATGATGATGATGATGATGATGATGATGATGATGATGATGATGATGATGATGATGCTGATGCTGATGCTGATGCTGATGCTGATGCTGATGCTGATGCTGATGCTGATGCTGATGCTGATGAGGAGGATAATGATGATGATGATGATGATGGTGATGATGATGATGATGGTATGATGCTGCTGGTGATGATGATGATGATGATGATGATGATGATGATGATGATGATGGTGGCGATGATGATGCTGATGCTGATGATAATGATGATGCTGATGATGACGACGACGATTCTGCTCCTGATGATGATGCTGATGATGACGACGATGATGATGCTGATTCTGATGATGCTGATGATGCTGATGATGGTGATGATGTTGGTGATGAGGATGATGATGATGATGATGATGATGATGATGATGATGATGATGATGATGATGATGATGATGATGATGATGATAGTGGTGGTGATGATGAGGATGATGCTGCTGATGATGGTGATACTGATGATGATGATGATGATGATGATGGTGGTGGTGGTGGTGGTGGTGATGCTGATGCTGATGATGATGATGATGATGATGATGATGATGATGGTGGCGATGATGATGCTGATGCTGGTGATACTGATGGTGCTGACGACGATTCTCCTTCTGATGATGGTGCTGATGATGATTACGACGACGCTGATGCTGATGCTGATGCTGATGATGATGCTGATGATGATGTTGATGATGCCGATGCTGATGCTCATGCTGATGATGAGGAGGATGATGATGATATGATGATGCTGATGATGATGGTGATGATGATGCTGCTGCTGATGATGATGATGCTGATGATGATGATGATGATGATGATGATCATGATGCTGATGATGATGCTGATGAAGATGATAATGATGATGATGATGATGATGATGATGATGATGATGATGATGATGATGCTGATGATGATGATGATGATGATGATGAGGATGATGATGATGATGATGATGATGATGATGATGATGATGATGATGATGATGATGATGATGATGATGATGATGATGATGATGATGATGATGATGATGATGATGATGATGATGATGATGATGAGGATGATGATGATGATGATGATGATGATGATGATGATGATGAGGAGGAGGAGGAGGAGGAGGAGGAGGAGGAGGAGGAGGGCGGGAGGGGATTTGGGACAAGCTAGGTGCGCTAGCGTCACATCTTCCCATCCTTTACCATGGCGTAGATCTCCTTTTTATTCGCACAGTGGGAAATGGACCGGCGCTGCATCGGAAGGACGATGTAGAGACCGAAAACGAGGATGAGGCCACCGCAGCAGCTAGCCCGATTTGGAAGGACCGCAGCACTGGAACGAGGCCAGCGCTACAGCGACAGCGCTACTTGGAAGGACCGAACACGCCAGAGCTGCTGCGGGAACACGATTTGGAACAACTGGAGGCGCGGGAACGAGGCCAGCGCTGCAGCGGGAGCACGATTTTGAATGACGGAGACGCGGAAATGAGGGCGGCGCTGCAGCGGGAACACCATTTTGGAATAAACGGAAACGAGCGGATTGAAAAAACAGGAGAAACCAAACAATATTCGGAGAGGACGGGATACTCTCTGGACAGTCAGGGGAGAGGAGAATAGTATTCATATGGTGTAATTGTGGAGAGAGGTCCCGCTCTGGGAGAAGACTCCTCGTCGGTCCCCGTGTCAGGGGCACTGCATCCTTTTACGTGTAGGAGGCCGCCCCTCTTGGGCTGCGCTTCCAGGCCCCGAGTGGCCGCGGGGCTTTGACGATGTTGTTTTCAAAGCTGCTACGATGCCCTCGTCCTCGTCCTCTGCCTCTTCCTCATCCTCACCCTACCCAGCGGTCCAAGCTTGGGAGGGGGCCTCTTTCCAGGGCGCAGCCTGGGTCTCTTTCGGCTCCGCCTTTGGGCCGACCCCGGAGTTGAAATCCGTTTGGGGGCCTCGCTTGCTGGCGTTTGCTCCTGCCAGTGCTTCTGCCTCGACCAGCGAAGTGAGTAGGGACCAGGGGGTGGAAGGTTGCGGGTTGAAGCCTGCCGCGCCTTCCCAGCTTTGACGCCGTCAGCGTCGCGCTTTTGCACGGCTCTGTCTCGCCCGAGGAAGTTGCGCGCTGGGAGATACAGTCAAGTCGCATAGTAAGGATGAGAAGCTTCCCAAGGTTTCCCTTGCATCCTTGCCTTTTCGGCCCATCCTCGGCGACTTTCGCTGGCCAGCCCCGCTCGAAAAACTTTATTCCCAACCCTCCTTGGTTGGGCATTCGTTTTGAATAGAGCAGTGTGGTCGCGTCCCTTCTCCCTTCTCCCGCCTCCCGCCTCCCGCCTCTTCTTGTCTTGCCTGTGGGGGGCTGCGATCTGTGAAACTGTCGCCACTTTCGAGGCCTGCTGGGGGGTCCGGCATAAAGGGTAATTGCGGCATATTCAAATTAGACCTCGCCATCCCTGGGGGGCTGCGATCTGTGAAACTGTCGCCACTTTCGAGGCCTGCTGGGGGGTCCTGCATAGAGGGTAACCGCGGCAGATTCAAATTAGACCTCGCCATCCCTGGGGGGCTGCGATCTTTGAAACTGTCGCCAGTTACGAGGCCTGCTGGGGGGTCCGGCATAGAGGGTAACCGCGGCAGATTCAAATTAGACCTCGCCATCCCTGGGGTTGCGATCTGTGAAATTGTCGCCACTTTCGAGGCCTGCTGGGGGGTCCAGCATAAAGGTTAATCGCGGCAGATTCAAATTAGACCTCGCCATCTCTGGGGGGCTGCGATCTGTGAAACTGTCGCCACTTTCGAGGCCTGCTGGGGGGTCCGGCATAAAGGGTAATTGCGGCAGATTCAAATTAGACCTCGCCATCCCTGGGGGGCTGCGATCTGTGAAACTGTCGCCACTTTCGAGGCCTGCTGGGGGGTCCTGCATAGAGGGTAATCGCGGCAGATTCGAATTAGACCTCGCCATCCCTGGGGGCTGCGATCTGTGAAACTGTCGCCAGTTTCGAGGCCTGCTGGGGGGTCCAGCATAGAGGGTAATCGCGGCAGATCCAAATTAGACCTCGCCCTCCCTGGGGGGCTGCGATCTGTGAAACTGTCGCCACTTTCGAGGCCTGCTGGGGGGCTCAGCATAGAGGGTAATCGCGGCAGATTCAAATTAGACCTCGCCATCCCTGGGGGGGGGGGGCTGCGATCTGTGAAACTGTCGCCACTTTCGAGGCCTGCTGGGGGGTCCAGCATAGAGGGTAATCGCGGCAGATCCAAATTAGACCTCGCCCTCCTTGGGGGGCTGCGATCTGTGAAACTATCGCCACGTTCTAGGCCTGCTGGGGGGTTCAGCACAGTGGGTAATCGCCGCATATTCAAATTAGACCTCGCCATCCCTGGGGCTGCGATTTGTGAAACTGTCGCCACTTTCGAGGTCTGCTGGGGGGCCCAGCACAGTGAGGGCCACGGGCAGATTCAAGTTAGATCTCGCCATCCCTGGGGGGGGCTGCGATCTGTGAAACTGTCGCCACATTTCGAGGCCTGCTGGGGGGCCCAGCACAGTGAGGGCCACGCGCGGATTCAAATTAGACCTCGCCATCCCTGGGGGGCTGCGATCTGTGAAACTGTCGCCATTTTCGAGGCCTGCTGGGGGGCCCAGCACAGTGAGGGCCACGCGCGGATTCAAATTAGACCTCGCCATCCCTGGGGGGCTGCGATCTGCGAAACTGTCGCCATTTTCGAGGCCTGCTGGGGGGCCCAGCACAGTGAGGGCCACGCGCGGATTCAAATTAGACCTCGCCATCCCTGGGGGGCTGCGATCTGCGAAACTGTCGCAATTTTCGAGGCCTGCTGGGGGGCCCAGCACAGTGAGGGCCACGCGCGGATTCAAATTAGACCTCGCCATCCCTGGGGGGCTGCGATCTGCGAAACTGCCGCCATTTTCGAGGCCTGCTGGGGGGCCCAGCACAGTGAGGGCCACGGGCAGATTCAAATGAGACCTCGCCATCCCTGCGGGGCTGCGATCTGTGAACTTGTCGCCACTTTCGAGGCCTGTTGTGATCCCCGTTTTCGAAGTGGCTAGGAGTGCTCAGGAATTGTAAATCATCAGCTTTATCAAGCCCTTTTCCTGTAGCCAGTGTCCTGCGAGTCTCCCGAATTCCGTCTGCAGACATATGTAACCCTCGCTCCGTCATCGCCCCCTTATAAAGTATCCTAAACTATTTGCGCCCCGCTTTTGCGCAGGGGTTGGGTACGTCGCCAGGGTAATTTTATGGCCCTCCAAGGCCCTTCTTTTCTTACCGCGCATCCTCCTTCTGCGACCTGATTGTCGTCTTTGGCTCAGATTCTGGGTGTCTCAGCGGTGAGCACCGACCACCTGTTTCGCTACCAAGCGAGGAGCGCGGAGATGTGTCCGCGCAATAGCATACCTTGCATACTTCTTCCTCGCCCTCCTCCTCCTCCTCCGCCTCCGCCTCCCTCCACCCCCTCCCCTCGTCGCTCTCATCCTTCTCCTCGTCTCCTCCCCCCTGCTCCGACCGCGACCACGACCACAATGACGGCGACGACGACCTCCAAAGACCTCTCGGGGTCTCCAGAGGTCTCCGGATGTCTCTGGATGCTTCCGAAGACTGCCCACTCAGGGGGGCCTCCGAACTCCTAAACTTGCCAAGTGTCGACACATCCGCGCCTCGGGGGACATCTTCTTCCGCTGCCCACCGCGCGTACACGGGGCACGCAGGCAGCGCAGCCGACGCGCTGCCACCAGCGGCTGCGGAGGGCGCAGCAGACGCGGGGCAGGCGCGGCACGGCACCATTGCTGCTGCTGCTGCTGGTCGTCGTCGTCGTCGTCGTCGTCGTCGTCGGGATCGTCGGCGGCGGCGGCGGCTGCGGCGGCGGCGGCGGCGGCGGTGGCGGGTGCGGCGGCGGCGGAGGCGCAGGCGGAGGCGGAGGAGGCGGAGGAGGTGGAGGCGGAGGGGGGGGGAGTGGCAGGGCGGGAGGAGGGGGGGGGGGGGTCGGATGAGGGCGATGGGGCAGGTCTTGGGGTCTGACCGAGGCTGCTCGTCAGCCTCGGGCTCACGGGAGCCAGCTTCTGCAGTGAGAGATTGAGCTCTTGCATTCCAGCGCCTACAGTGAGAACCTGGACCAGCATCTGCAATGGGGGAAGCCATCCTCTGCATTCCCGTGCACTCTGGGCTCACATGTCCGAGCGTGGATTCGACAGTTGGGCTAGCACACACGCTCATAGATTCAACACTCTGAGGCTAGGAGACAGGGCGCCCAGTGGTGGCAACCGCAGAATGTGTCTCTGGAACATCGGGGAAAGAGCCGGGGTCATACCAGAGGGCAGAACGTCCACGCGCAGTGCCCCTCCAGTCGCGGGGACCTCGTAGGTGGAGGCACAGTGTTGCCCAGTCTTGGAGCAGTATCTCGACGATGGACTCCACGGCAAGCAGGCCGTTGGCTAGCTCGTCGTTCCTCTTGAGAGTCCAACATTCGGGACCTGAAGCTGTGGCTACAGAAGGCGATGCTGCAGCTGCCTCTGACTGCGACGACGCCTGGGAGAAGGCACCCAGTGTAGCCAGCCATGGCCTGGCTGCTCTGGCAGATCAGGAATGCGGTTTAGCACATGGGCGAGCTCGCGACGCCGTAGAGCGGGTACAGGAACCCAGGAAGCTTATCGTACAAACGTGCTCCAGCGGAGCGGGTTGTCACGCGCAACCCGTCGAGGTCTCGCGGCTCCCTGGGGTGGGCTGTGAACTGCGCAATTGTCGGTGCTCTCGTGGGCTCCTGATTGGCACAGCGGAGTGGGGTGTCACGCAAACCCCGTCGAGACCTCTCGGCTCTCTGGGAACCCCAGTTCTGGGCGTGGAAAGTTTCGGCTTGGTGTCCTGCGGGGTTCTTGGTTTGGCTTGCCAGGGATTCCAGGTTTGGGCTCCCGATTCTGGGTCTTGCCAGGATGGATTCTGGATTATGCCTCTTTGGGAACTCTGGTCTTCGCCCGGAACAAATTCCGGGGTCTGCCTGCTGACCGGGGCTGCTGGGAGGAACAGGAGAAGCAGGGATCGAGGTGGAGAGGGGGGACCGGTGGGAGAGGAGAATCGACGAGGGGCAAAGGGGGGAGAGGGGGGAGGAACAGCCAATGTCCTCAACCATCAGCCCCGCACCACCCACCCGACCCTGGGGAGTACACCCGGGGCATCCCGAACACAGTGCTCTGAGGCCAACCAGGCTTAACCCCCCCCCCACCTCCCCCCAAACTGAGGTGTTTTTGGATTTCGCGCGTCAGCAGAGCATGTGCTTCAGCACCCCGTCTTGTGCTCCTGCAGTTTCGCGCGCAGAGGGTGGCGGAGAGGTTGCGGTGGTCGATGCCAGCTTGGCTGGGATTGTGTGATCTCGCATGGGAAATGGGCGATGGGGCAGAACCATGTGTAAACTGTGTTGTCCTAGGGGGGACGGCGAACCCTTGGCTCGGGAGTGTGGTATAGAGTTTGTTCTTCCCATGAAGTCTATGTGGTCCGAGCGTGGATGCGACAGTTGGGCTAACACACACGCTCATGTATTCAACACTCTGAGGCTAGGAGACAGGGCGCCCAGTGATAGCAACCGCAGAATGTGTCTCTGGAACATAGGGGGAAAGAGCCGGGGTCACACCAGAGGGCAGAAAGTCCACGCGCAGTGCCCCTCCAGTCGCGGGGACCTCGGTGGTAGAGGCACAGTGTTACTCCAGATTTCGTAATAAAAGGGAGGGGGTCTGGACCCTCCAAGACAAGCCATTTCAGACCTCCCCCGTGGGAGAACCCTCCAGAACATCGTCCCCAGACCCCCCAGGCCCTCCAAGATAGCCTGGAAGAACCCCCCCCCGAAATGAGACCCCCCTCCCTTCATTACGAAATCTGGAGTATGCGAAGTAGTCAAACCATAGTCGGGGGACGTTTTTTCTGCTGTTTTCGACCCTTGCTGAGCACTCTTTTCTGCATATTTTCTGGTTTTCGCCGACGGTCCGCCTGCAGGAGAGCATGCCCGACCCGACCCTCGCGCGGGGCGCTCCCGGGGCGACCGCGGGCGTGCCCGCGGGCGGGCACCCGCCGAAAGCCCAGGGTGCCCCACCAGGTCCCCAAGCCTCAGGCAGACCGAGCGTGGGCCCCTACAGTCGGGGCCCTGAAGAAGGAACCCTTTTCGCTGGGGAGGGGCTCGGCGTTCCTCGGCTGTTTCGAAGTCTGCCCCGGGTTTTCCTGAGGTCTTCCATCGGACATCGAGGCTGAACTTTTGGGAGAAAAAGGGGCCTCGTTCCCTATTCTGGGTTCCTCAGGTCAAGGCCCCGACTGTGAGCGCAGACGTCGCTCCTCGGGGAAGGAGTCTGCCGGGGAACGCACAACGACACAAGCGCGCAGCAGCTCGGAGGCCCGCGCGGCTCCTCGGACCGGCGCTCGACGCCCCGCCCCCGGCGCGCGGAGCGCCGCCATGGGGGCCCCTCCGCGTCAGGGGCGCCGCCAGGGGGGGCCCCAGCGCCGATCGGAGGAAAATCCGCGCGCGCCTCCGAGCGTTTGTATTCTGTCGTTCTTTAAAACGACGCGAGGATCGGGACAAAATCGGATCGGGATAGCTCGAAATCTCTGAGAAACGGCGGGTTTGGAGGATGTATTGGGCGCCGCGGCCGCTCCAGAGCGTTCCGGAACGCTCTGAGAGCGCTCCGGAACGCTCTGGAGCGATTTATCCCGATCCTAGCCCTGTTTTATTCTTCTTCCCCTACCAGTATCCCTGATGCAAAGACGGGGACCTCAGTGAGGCCCCGACTTCACTGTGCTATTCGGGTCAGGGGTTCTCTTGTTTTAGGCTGTGCCCCAGTTTTGTGTTGTCTGTGTCATTGCTTTGCTCCCTGGTCAGATTCCCTTTTCGTGGACTCACTGTTTTGGGAGAATGTGCGCGCCGCTGTGGCGAGAGCCGCATTTTGGAAGCCACGAACCCTACAACCGTGTCATGATTGGAGCTTCGTAGGTTTCGCCGGGTATGTTGCAAGGAAGTCTGCATCGAAACATCTGGCCACGCCTGGTGAGCGTTTTCTGATCCGGCGTTTCGACACTGGGCGCAAAGGGTGGGAGGGGGGTGTCTGGCTCCGGACCTCTGCTCGGTGCGACTGCTTGGAACAGTGCGTCCTAAGGGGGAAGGCTCCGCCTGCTCGAAACAGGCGCCCAAAACAGCCAAGATCTACTCCATGGGGGAGGGGCGAGGGGGGGGGGTGCGAGGGCCCGCGCCGATCGACGAAACACGAAATAAAAACGATCACCTGCAGACGCGTGTGGTGGTGCGACAGGGGGAGGTCTCCCCCCCCCCTGGTGCCCGCTCCGAGGCCGCGGCCGAGGACGAAGCAGGCCGTCGCGCGCGTGGGGGTCGCGCGGTGGGGCCTGGCTGGGGGCACAGGAGGAGCACGGAGCAGTAGGCGTGGTGACGACGCTGATGATGGAGGTGGTGGCAGGTGGTGATCATAGTATCGGGCGACGAAATCTATACATATCCACTGCTCCCTGGCCAGGCCCATCCCGAACCCAGCAGCGGTGTATACGCCCTCTTGGCCAAGCGAGGAGGGCGTGGCGTACACACAGCTGCTGGGTTCAGGATGGGCCTGGCCAGGGAGCAGTGGATATGTAAGATTTTGTGGCCCTATAGTAGTGATGATCAGGCTGGGGATGAGGATGGCGATGGTGGTGATGACGATGATGGTGGTGATGGTGATGATGATGGTGATGATGGTGTCCTCGATTCATTTGGAAGGTTTTTTTGAGTCTGTCGATCACCAGGTCAGTGCAACGACAGACTTGCAGAAGTCGTGGCAGCAGATTGAACCAAATGGACCAACTGGATGATGCAAACGTGGGAATCATTTGTGATGGTAGGAGGAGAGGATCTGCCTGATCAGCGTCCGCCTCACTGCTTGAAACACATTGGTATAAAAATCGCGGACATGTCAAGCATATTCGTTGCAATGCCTAGAACGTTTCATCACACTGCAGTCTCATCATTTGCTGCCGAGCTGATGGCGGTATATTTATTCACGGGGCTTCTTGCACAGGCATGGCTAGGCGGCTCTTGAACTCAGACATTCGGCGAGCTCGAAACAACAGCGAGTCGGGCGTGGAGACGCACACCAACCGCCGACGTCCCGCCGCCCGCAGCGGCCTCCGCCTTCCGCCTCCGTATATCTCTGCGAGCCTGTTCGGCCTCGAGGCCGCCACCAGCGACTGACGCCCTCGAGGCCGTACGCCGCGCAGCACCATTCCCCGGTCGGACCCCCCGCGCTGGCCTCCAACCGCGGCAGTCTCGGCGAGCACTGCATCCAATTCGAAGCAGAGACAACTCTGCAAACCTAAGCTTTCGACGCTCCGCGCGGCTTTCTTGGATCGGCGCATGGGCCCCCCTGGCGGCGCCTCCGCCGCCCCTGGCCGCGCGCCAGGGAGGGGGGTTCAGCGCAGATCCAAGCAATCTGCGCGGAGCGTCAACACGAGGCGTGCGCGAGCCCCTCGGCAAGATCGGCGCTGCCGCCGCCGCACTCGGTGCGCGGCTGGCGGGCCGACCCGGCAGTCTCCTCGTCCCCGCGCGGGTGGGCCACGAGGGTGGCCGCCACGGCCTGCAGCCAGCTTTCCAGCACCTCGATGGCCTGGCACGTGCGCTCAAAAGAGTCCGCCGTCTCCGACTCCTTCGGTAGCAAGTCATGGGAGCCTTGTGTACTCTCGTAATTCTGTCTTTAGCGTCGATTGGCGTTGATGAGCGTCCGGGAGTCGATGAGATAGCGCCCATTTAGCGACTGTTAGCCTCGATTAAGC